CGAGATCATCGCATCCATCTTGAAAAAGTGAGAGGTAGTCCGCTGATGTTTCCTTTTTCAGAACCTAAATGCAAGTTCGTAATTCTGTCTCTGTGCGAGGTTTCAATGACACTACCCATGTGGCTTTAGCTTCAACAGACGATAAAGTCTGGTTAGTGCCAAGTCAGCAGAACGGTCCGTTGCAATACTTCCTCGAGCGCTCAAGTTGTTGTTCCCTGTTGTGAACAGTTAATCCCCTTTCATCGTAGATGGTTTTACTAACTCGGGTTAACCGACCTCTGGTATTGCGCATTAGTTAGAACAGTCTTTGATCACTCCTGATGCAGTGGCGAATTTCAACTCATTAGCTGTTTTCGACCACCAGTTTTCACGGCTTCTTCAGGTTCCTCGTGGGCTAACGCAGCAGGCGCTCTATTTTTATCCTGACCGCTAACCTATCAGGGCTACCAACTCGTGAGATGTTTAATTGGTCGAACGGGCTTCAGGCTCAGATCCACAAGCGACGTTCGTTACAGAACGTATCGCTCAACCTGTGATACCATTGTCCATCTGCACCACTATACTGCATCACCCTAAGCTCAGAAAAGCTTGTTGACCAACCTTCACTATAGTCCACATATTGAAGGCCCCTAGATCTAGTAATTGACGAGGCTTCAGAATCTGTAATCTATTTCTTGGTAAATTATTTATATTGTTAATCCACATTGTTATTTGGCAAATAACTTGGGCGAATTACAAACAAGTTACCTGGGGGAATGTTACGCGTCAGAAGAAGTGCTATAGGGAGATGAGAGAAAAAGAGTGAAACAAAGTTTGGGAAGTCTGAGCAGTAGCCCACTTACCACTGCCAAGCACGCCTGATGCAATCGGCAGTACGGTCCTGATTACCCTGCGTGACGACCGACTCAATATGTAATTCTTTATAATTTGTGTCTTGGAGTTTCATGGACGGGTACTACTGAGGAGTCCGACCACTAAGCAAGAGAATGATTCGGGTTCTCAACCGGTCTTTAGTTACCACAAGAACCTAAATGCAAAGCAGCGGGTAAAGCGAAGGAGATAACCAATTACTTAGATCGATTACTCCTCCACCATTTTACCGTCTGGGACGCCAACTCCAGTCGAACCTCAAGCCCAGAGGACCGGGAGACTGAAGTTTGTCTGACCTGCATGCTATGATTTTCTTTCAGGCACGATAAGATGTTTTGGCTCCTAGGTAGCTCGTCGGGTCACAGAGGTGCACAAACCATCACATCACGTCGATGTACAGTCTTTTTGAGATGGAAAAGAGGAAAGCTTTTTTTTCAAAGATAACCATAAACTGAACTACATTGGCAGCAATCTATTCGTCATCAGCATTTCTGTTAAATACGACGGACAGCGTGGTTCCGACCATTTTGGATAAGAACTGATTCGTTAAAAATTTGTGTGTGGAATGTATATTAATAGTGATGAATGTAACTCATGAATTATTCTCTTGCGTTAGTTTTCGAGTTCTAACAAACAGTACCCTCTACCATTATAAATGGTTCTAAATAGCCTTCAACTCGACGAAATTTACTTTTTAAGCCAAAAAATGAACCTCGTCAGTAAGCAAGATGCCCATTCTCTAAATGAGATTCTTTCATTGAGGAACCCCCTGTGTCTAAGTTCAAGATCAAGACAGACAACCGAACTGTTAGGTCGCGCTTACACGTGCATTGTCAGCCAAAATTCTTGAATACCTCTCACGAGCCCGTCAATTGAGCTAAATAAATGATTCTTACTTGATATGCATCTCGAAGTGCTAAGGTAAAAACTGGCCGAGTTTTACTGTCCGATCCAATACGCACGGCATCGTACATGTACAGGCGACGAGACATAGATACCACAGCCAACAAATGAAAAGGGGACACATGCTCGACTGCGCGAAATCGATCGTCCGGGATTGCGGAAACCACATGCGCCACGGGTTTGGTGATTGTCGGTATTAGACGACTCGAACCGGCAGCTAGATGAATACTCGAGCCGTAATTAGGAGTCCAACGCCCGTCATCACAGTCATAGGATGGAATACGCCATAACGCCAAAGAGGAATCTCGTGAACACGAAGCCAGGTGGGAATCGTCAATCCATCGAAGATCGAACACCCAATCTTTGTGACAATCCTAAATGGAGGAATCAAGAATGCAGTCCTAGAATGATCTTTTTCTCTCAAGATAATCAATTACAAAACGGCTTANACAATACACACTTTAGTTATTTGCATCGCACCTCAACGATCAAATATTTTAACATCGATGAGTATTAGAAAGCCGTGAACAAAGAGCACAAAAAGTGTGCCTAGAGGAAACTGACGACTTAGCAGTAAATGACAGTAAACGGTTCAATATCGCGCCTATACTGCCGGGACACTCACTATGTAGTCTGCCACCTGAAATCCCGTGGCTTAAGTTGCCGGTTCTTATAACTGAACATTAGGTCCCTCTGAGGCCTCTGAGATTTACCTGTTCCGTTCATCACACAGACGAATGCAACTGAAAACATTCTAGAGGTGTATTACATTTAACACCACTGAAAGAGATATGGCACCGCAGTCAATTTGGCTCCGTCGGTGGTGGGGCTAAAACTCATTGAAACCTGTTGTCAGCGATGCATTTTCAGCTTCTAGCGTCCCACTCCATTTTGTTCCTTAATTACACACGTTGTGACGAACAGCATAAAGGGTTGGAATTTGAGGTGACGAACCACAGGAGATCCTACTTGGATAAATGGGATCTTCAGCCAGACCACAGTAAACCTGTCTACCATTAAAGCTAGCTGTAGGTGGCAGGGTCTCAACCTTGAACATTGAGGCTTGCAGGACGCCTGTTACAACTTTAACCACCTGGCATGGTTCGTAACCTCGATAAATCAGTAATCGAGGGAAAACTGTGGGCTACCAGGTACATTCTCGGATTGTGAATATGGATCTTAACACAATGGAGGCTAACTGCGGATCGGTTCAGACTTGCCGTACATATTTAGATATTTCACAGCGGCTAGGACAAGCATGATACTAACACAAAAACAATGATAAAACGGTAAAGCGTGATGAAAGGAAAATGGAGAAAAAAAGAGAACAGGGAGAATAAATGAACGATTTTTGTTTCAACGTAAAATCTAATGCCGATTATGGGGAACCGGGTTACGACAAACTGACTGCACAGAAATCGTGTAACTAACTTGTATTCTGAGCCATATCTCTCAGTGTCTCTCACCATTGGCAATCATCCTCTCTTGGGTCCCAACCTGGAAGGTGAGCTGCAAAAATCGAAGACAATATCGAGGCCAACTTCTCCATGCCTACGCCAGGTCACTGCCTGACCGCGGTGGCGCTACTTCTAACCTAGCCTAGTACGTGCAAAGTGTGCACAGAGAGGCAGGCGTGACCAAGATATGGGAGGCGGTGTAGAGCGATTACTTCTTTTAGAGAACGACTATCGGTGACGAACACACAATGACGAATTTCGTCACTGCTCACCCGATGTCCCCACCAGACACGAGTAATGCATCGAAGGCATCGGTGGTCAAATAGACAAAATCGATTAGCATCCTCAACGCGGAGGGGCCAGGTCTCACAACGGTGAGGCAGAACCCTACAAACCGCGGCGATTTACACCCTTCCCTCGGGAGACAGTTAGATGTCATGGCAGTGCCACATCAGTCGCAGGTTGGCAAAAGCTGCTCTAGGTAGCGCATTTCGTCACGTGATCGCCTCCCCAATACCTCCTCCAGCAGTGATTAAGCTTCTGAGGTTCTTAAACAATTCTATCTGATCACCACAGAAGGTGAATGCGTGCTCAGGCTCTTACCAGTTTCATACAAAAACTTTGCACTCGGATGGTGGAAGTACATATCATATTTGGAAACCTCTATCGTCGGGCGGTTTTAAGAGTGCTGGAATACCTGTGCATTGTCAATCAACATGGCGATGTTATCGATATTTTCTATCCTGTTCACTGGGAGGATTTTGCTTCCACCGTTTTCTAGACAAAGCGTCCTATGGAACAGTTTCTATGGCAAAATTGAAGAGGAATGGAGATACGGGGCAGGCATGTCGCACTCCACTGGAGACGTCAACGGGTGGCGAAAGCTGGCTATAGAACCTAAACCCATCTGAAGTATGACGATACTACTCCCTGAGAATCGATATATACTTCTCAGGTACCCCATTTCTAAAGGAAGCCTCATAGTGCGGTCCCACCGATGGAGTCGAAGGCTGCGTGAATGTTTAAGAATACAATGATCGTTGATCTGCGGTAAGCATGAGGGCACTCAAGCTGCTGCAGGAAAGTGAAGATTTGATCAATGCATCCATGACCGGTGCGAAACCCAGGGTCTTAATCAAAGTGCCTTGTGCAATCTACAAAGAATAACGGACACCAATAGTTTTGACGCCATCGGAATAAGACACACGCCTATGACTGACGACGTCACTGCGCCAGACCTTTTTAGAGGGAACCTGTTCAGTGTGCCAGACTATACGGAACAGAACTTGCAGTTCTCTAACAAGCTTTATTCCAGCATCTTTGAATAGGGCCTCCTGAAGTCTCAGTATGGTAAGGGATGGGTGTCTAGGTTTGCGGCTGGTCACCCATCTCTTGCGCCTCGCGAAAGTTCAGTTTAGTTCTTACAACCATTAACCATGCAGTTTCGTGCGCCGGTTTTGGTTATTTTTCTTTTGGTTGCCCATTTAGATAAAACAGCAGAATGATGATTAGAATGTTGAGAGCAGATTTAAGCGAAGGGTAGCACACTTTCACAGACTGAAGTTACAAGCATAATAAGTAGATGCATGACCGCCACTGTTTGCGACACCCAGCAATTTCACTGTCTCTAACCACCGGTGACCATGATCTCTGGGTCCATATCCAGGGAACCTAACGGGTCCTATATGAGAGCCAGTCTCATGGTCAGGGTTTTCACGCCCTCATGCCAGGTCTTGGCTTGACCGCCCTTCATATTTTTCCAACCGCTACCTGCCTCGGCAAGCATCGCTCGCCGTGGCAATCTACCTGGTGACATGCGTAGCACATGTCCCAACCAGCGTAAGCTATGAAGGTCGACTACCTGTTCCAGTGGACGACCGCGATTACCTAAAACTCTACGCCTAACCTCAGCATTGATAGTGCGGTTACCCAACCAGACTCGTGCAATGCTACGTAAATAGCGGTGTTCGAACACCGATCGTCTATTTTTATCCTGTCCCCGTAGAGGCCAAGTCTGCACCGTAAAGCAGAACTACTGCCGCCTACACTCGACCCTCCACAGACAGTCGAATATCGCGATGGCGCCACAGATGCCTCAAGTTGGCAAATGCCAACCGAACATACTGTAGGCCCGCCGATACTTCATTTGTGATGCATCCGCCAGGTGAGATATGGCTGCCAAGATAGCAAAACTTATCTACTTTCTCCATAACTTCCCGGTCAGGGTAAGGCTGGGGACTGGGCCAACCCAATCTTGGAGCAGCATTAAACACTTGGAAGGTGCAAAGCGCATACCGAACGTCGCTACACTAGCACTCAAACTATCCAGAAAAGCTTGCAACTTACCTGAATCTTCACTTAGTAGCACAATGTTGTCTGCATACCCTAGATCAGACAGTCTGTCACCTGGGAGTAAATCGATGTCACTATCCCCGCACGAATGTAGGGCTGTTTCAGGAATTAAATCTATCACGAAGTTAAATAGAAAAGGAGAGAGAGGGCAACCCTGTCGAACACCACTTTCCGTGGTGTACTCGGGTGAAAAAGTGCCCTACTTAAATAGAAAAGGAGAAAGAGGGCAACCCTGACGAACACCACTTTCCGTGGTGAACTCAAGAGAAAAAGTGCCGTAAGCCCGAACTCTACTTCGGCTATTATTATAAAGTGATCGTAATATTGAAATTAACTTCTCGGGCACACCTTTCAGGGATAGGCAACGCCAGAGTTTAGAGCGGTCGACTGAGTCGAAAGCCGCTTTCAGGTCGAGGAAGATGGAAATAGTGGGTCTACGAAAGGAGTGTCTGTGTTTTACTAATTGACGAAGACTGAAGATGTGGTCGATACAACCTCGACCAGATCTGATACCAGCCTGGTTCTCACGTGTACACTCTTCAAGAGCGGCAGACAACCGACGAATTATGATCACGGCGAGAAGTTTAGAGATGATGTTGATTAAGCTAATTCCTCTGTGGTTTTCATAAGAGGACCAGTCGCCCTTCTTGTAAATCGGTATGATCACCGATTTACACCATTCAGTTGGGACCTGCTCCTTTTCCCACACTGAACCCAGGAGTTTCGTTAACTCCAAAACCAAGGCTAGACCTCAATCCTTAAAAACCGATGGGGGCAGCCCGTCGGGGCCGGAAGCCTTATACCTTTTGAGATAGTTTATTTCTTGGATAACCTCTAGTTCAGATGGAGGACTGATGTCAACGGGCAGTATTTGCACAGTTGAACCGGGTATAGGGAGGTCTGGTGCTGACGAGGGCCAGCTGAACTGAGCCTTAAAATGTTCTGCCCATCGATCTAGACGGCGTTGCTGAATACGGATTAGTGCCGTCGGATTCCTTAATTACCTCACTTATGCTATCCTTGGACCTGTACTCCTAATTAATTGGAAAAGATTGCAACTACTACTGATAGCCGCAGCCTTCTCCATCTCTCTACACTCTCCTACTCACCACTTATCGCAGTCATTCTTTAGACTCTTGATGAGCTGGCGTTCAAGGGATTTGGGCGCTGTGTCGTAGTTTGAATCCGAAGGAATGGCTTTGCGAGCGTCCAGAATGGCAACCGAAGTCGTTTTTTATCTGATTTTGATTCAGAATTTGCTGTTGTTTTGGATTGGCATTTGGATCGCTTCCTTGATTGCTGTCCAGTGCTCACTGAGTCCTCCGGTTGATGGTTGTGCTGAGAGACGATCTGATAGTTCCGCTTCGAAGGTTGATTTGCAACCATTGTTGACATTGAATCTTGGGCATCTGTTTTCGGCAGCTTTTCTGCGTTTGTTTATTAGGCGTAGATAGAATCTCACTCGTAGAACATGATCCGTGTCGACGGCTGTTGATCACTAGGAGCGGTAGTCTTTAATGGATCCTCGCCAGCCGTGTCTGATGGAAATATGGTCGATTTGAGTCCAGCGCTGTGAAGCGGTTAGCGGTCTCCATGTAAGACGGTGGCGTGTTTTGTGCGAGAAGTTCGTGCTTGACAGAAACAGTCCATGGTCAGCACAAAGTTGCAGGCGTTCTCCGTTGTCAGTCCTGTTGGCTGGGATTGTACGTGAACTTTCTAGTAGCCTCTGATTCGTCCAGGGATCCCACTTGAGCATTGAAGTCTTCAGCGACCACCACGATGTCCGTTGACCGAGCACTTCGGAGCAGTTGAGAGAGGTCCTTGTAGAGTTCATCCTTCACTTCTGGCGAACTGCAATACGCGGATACGACGAATAGGCATCGATGCTTCGTTCAGTAGCTGCTGACTCATACTGAACCATCCAGACGAACGGTGCAAAGTCCGCTGTTAACCGGGATCCAATCGAGAAGTGAATGCTCGGCCTTGACACTTAGCGCAATCCCAACACCAGCAACACCGCTAGTTTCGGATACCGAATCGCCTGACACAGAGAGTGAGGATGGAGAACGCAAGATGATTGAAGTAGGGTTTTGTATGCGTGTTTCGGAGACACCGCATACATCTAAATGGAAGGTTTCAAGGGTTCCAGCTAAGGCGGCTTGTTGACCAATCTGATAGTGTGCGGAAGTTAAATGCGGCTAAGTGGAAAGGAGATTTTGGTTTCAAAAATCTGATAACCTCTGAGTGGTTGGTCTCATTAGTTGAGCACTGAGTGGTATCCGATGGGTGGAGCACACAGGATACCCAGCTATCAAGTCGTTATTCACTGTGGATACTCTGCCCACTTTTATCGTAAATGGTCTCAGTGACCGGTATGCGACGACCTCCGGTGCTGCGTATCAGGTGAAATAGTCTTTGACTATTCCCCGATGCAGAAGCTACTTTCATTTCCCTGGCTATTTTGCCCCACCAATTTTCACGATCTTTCTTAAGACTATTTTTGAGTTGACGTTGCAGGCGACAACGGTCCTTATGCTGATCCGGGCAGATTGGGATCTTCCGCTTTTGATCCATCAGGATTACTGACTCCTGGGAGATCCAATGCTTCGGGCTCAGTCCCACAAGCAAAGTTTGCTGCTGAGTGCATCGCAAATCCAATCTGATTCCACTGTTGGTCTAATCTACTATGTCGCGATTTTCCTAGCTCCTTTCATAACGTGCACAGACAGCTGGATCGCGCAGCCGATAGTGAGCTAATTGAGGAGACGATTTCTGACAATAACTAATGAGCCGAAGAGTGAAGCGTAACAGAATTAGTGCAGGTGGTCCAATAGGGTCTGCAATTTTGTACTCAGCCATGCCAACGGTAGCTTACAGCTATGTGGTCAATTTGGGTCAGATTTACCGTTGAACCAGAACACCATGTAGTCGTTCGACAAGGACTGTGTCGAAAGTTGGTGCTAGATAAAAACAGCCGGTGATCCGCGCAGAACTGAAGTAGTCGAACACCGTTGTCTGTTCGCTGGGTGGGGAGGGCGAAGTACCCTCCTAGACAGGCTTCGGATGCGCTCAGTATTCCAACCTGCACGTTAAAATCACCTGCCATCACTATAATATCAGAGTTGCAGCTCAACCGAATCAGTTCGGC